GATGGATGGATGGATGGATGGATGGATGGATGGATGGATGGATGGATGGATGGATGGATGGATGGATGGATGGATGGATGGATAAATATTGGTATATTCTAATCTTTTTTAGTGTTTGTAAATAATATGCCTTTGTAACGCTGTAAAATCTTCTAATTGCTGGTCTGTACACTTTTATAACATATGTTGACTCTCCTGGGGTGATCAACAGATGAATAATAGCTTACAATATGCAGCACTTCAAAAGTTAAACATTTACATTTGGCCACGACTGTCTTTCCACTGAGCTCAATTTAACAAATGTTCCCCCTCATGAATACTTTAGCAGGTAAGATTGACAGTTACTAAAAAAGGGGGTTGGGGGTCTCTGACTGAAAACAAATTGCTCTTGGAGCTTAATTCCTTTGTTTAAATGTAATTATTTGTTTTCAAACCTTGTTTTCCTTGTAAATAAAAAATATAGTTAATGTGATGCATCCATATTAATTCTCTTTCAGTAATTCTATTTCAATATATTTTTGGCTTTTAATGTGTCTCTGAGGATGTACCTCCTTGCAAATCTAAACCAGTTTAAACAGCCTTGTTTATAGTCCTTTTGTTTAATATACATGCTATTTTCCATGCTGATTAACAAAGCTATGGTTCAAGAGTCAAATGGTTAGTTCTGTCCTTATGTAGCTTTCACTGTTAAGTGCTTTCAGAATAGCAGGAGAACCGTATAAAGCTGTCCTTTAACCTTTTACACTGCCCTAAGTTTTAAGATGTTGCAAACAGTGTTTTGATTTATTTTTGCAGGTAAATGAGAACATTAAATAATTCTCTAATATTTTTTTCAGATATGAAAAATCTATTAAACATTTAAAGATGTTAAGAACTATGCATGAAGATAGATTTAAAAAGTGTTAACTCTTTCCAAACCCTTTTTAGGAAACCAAACCAGGATTTATTGAATGTAATACATTATCTAAATCTATGTTATTTATTATCACATATGAAGTGAAAGTC